CTCACGGCATCTGGGCGTGTCCTCGTCTGAGCTGTCCCCACAGTTGTCCTCCCCATCGCACACCTGGTGGGGCTCCACGCAGGCCTGGTTCCGGCAGCGGTGGTGCCCCAGCCGGCAGCTGGCCTGGGGGGCTGGTGTGGGGGACGGTTAACCATCACCAGGCCCCAAACCCTGGGGCAGGGCAGCTGAGGGAGAGGCCCCAGACTTTCTGAATGGGAGTGACCAGGTGGGGGCCTCACTACCCCCGGCCCCCACCTCCCCCGGCGTGGGCCCAGGCAGGGGGTCTTACTGGGCAGCCCACAGCCCCTGAAGGTCACGTCGTCCAAGGCCACAGCCCCCCTGTGGGTGGCATTGCGGGTGGCAGAGAAGGTCACCTGAAGAGAAGAGGGTCCTTAGGGCCTAAGTCAGGGCTCAGACCCACCTGCTGCCCCCACCATTCAAACTGCCCCCAGCTCACCCAGAAGTCACCCCGGACGCGGCCAGGGGCCACCACCAACTCCTGCCAGCCCTCGCCCCAGGGCCCCGAGCTCCGCCACAGGGCCAGCGTCTCCGTGCCATGTGTCAGCTCCAACCGCAGCTCAGCCACATCTGTCACGGGGTATGGGCAGCTGAGCCCCTGTGCCTCCCAGCCCGCGGGCTGTGCCCCTGGACTCCTGCCCCTTCCCTGGGAGCCTTTCCATTTTCTTTCTCTCTCTCTCTCTTTTTAAAATATTTTTATTGATTTCAGAGGAAGGGAGAGGGAGACAGATTCAGTGATCAGCTGCCTCCTGCACGCCCCGCATGGGGTTCGAGCTTGCAACCTGGGCATGTGCCCTGACCGAATCGAACTGCGACCTCCTGGTTCATAGGTCGATGCTCAACCCCTGAGCCATGCCCGAGGGGCCGCCCTTCCATTTTCTGCAGCAGCAGCTGTCTTTTCCTGTCTCCCCGCTCTGGGCACCCCGCCAGCCGCAGGGCCGAGCACACACCTGCGGAGGCCGCCTGGTACCAGAGCCTCAGCTCACAGGTGGGGGCCGCCTCACGCAGGACGGGGGAGCGCAGGGCGGCCACGGACGGCTCTTTCCCGCGATGAGTGCCAACAGCTACGTACCAGCCTGGACGGCAGAGAGGTCAGAAGACGGGGCAGGGACCGAGGAAGGGGAGGCCTGGGCACCCGCCCGCGAGGGCTCACCTAGGTCCGTGCCCAGAGTGTGGTC